AGCTTGTGCTGATACAGAGTCTGCAGAAGTGCCCTGAGATGATCGGTATGGTCCTCTCGACTTCGTGAATATACAAGAATATCGTCAACGAACACTATCACAAAGGAGTCGAGGAAAGGCTTGGAGTGTCGATTCATAAGATCTATGAAAGTTGTGGGGGCATTTGTTAGCCCAAAAGACATCACCAGAAATACGAAGTGCCCATATCAAGTCTGGAAAGCTGTTTTCCGTATATCCTACTTCCTGATTCTCAATTGGTGATACCCAGATCTTAAATCAATCTTAGAGAAGTACTTAGCACCCTACAATTGGTCAAACAAGTCATCTATCCTTGGCAGTGGGTACTTATTCTTGATTGTGACCTTGTTGAACTGTCGATAGTCAATACACATTCTCAGTGACCCATCTTTCTTCCTTACAAAGAGAATTGGTGCACCCCAAGGCGACACACTCGGCCGAATAAAACCCTTCTCTAACAAATCCTTCAATTGTTCCCTTAGTTCCTTCAATTATGTCGGAGCCATTCTATAGGATGGAATAGATATAGGTTGTGCGTCTGGCATCATATCAATCCCAAAATCAATCTCCCTATCTGGTGGGATCCTGGGGAGTTCATCAGGAAAGACCTCTAGAAATGCATTCACAACTGGCACGGACTCAAGTGTAGGTGCCTCATTATCGCTGTCCATAACCCGGACCAAACGGTAAATACACCCCTTGTTGATCAATTTCGTGGCCTTAAGGTAAGAAATAAACCTACCCTTCAGCACTACGTCCTCCCCCTTCCACTCAATAATTGGCTCATTTGGAAATTCAAACCTAATGGATCTGGTTCGGCAATCAAGCTTGGCAAAACATGAATAAAGCAGTCCATCCCCATTATTACATCAAAATCAACGATCCCCAATTCAATGAGATCGGCCATGGTGTCCCGACCATGCACCGTGACAACACAATCCCTATAAACCTCCGCGGCCATAATAGAATCACTGGCTGGAGTAGATACAGAGAACAACTCATGAAGCTGTTCCAGTTCTCTTCCGAATTCCATAACAACATAGGGAGTGACATATGACAAAGTGGAACCGGGATCAATAAGAGCATATACATCATGAGATTGGATAGTCAATATACCTATGACAACATCTGGAGAAGCCTCTAAACTCTGGCGACCCCTCATAGCATAGAAACGGTTGGGTCCTCCCGAATTCTGTGCAGCACCCCTAGATGCACCACGCCCTGCGGGTGCTGGACAACCTCGAGCTAAAGGAGGTGCTGCGGATGAAGTAGCTGCAGAACTAGATGGTCGTGTCGTACCCCTACCGACACTCTGGCGGGATGAACGACAATCCCTCTGAATGTGACCCCTAATACCGCACTCGTACCATATTGGTAGGTCCGTGAAATAGGTCCCTAAGTGCATCTTCCCACATCTAGGGCATAGGGACCTCCACTGCTGCTGAAATCACCCACCAGGCCGACCCTGCTGGTAGGATCCCCTGTTGCCCTGACCGGGCCTGAAATAGCTCCATTGCTGCTGACCAGGCCCTGATGGTTGTGCACTGACTGAAGACTGAGAAAATGACTGGGATGGCCCTGATGACCCTTCTTTGAATGTTGACCTACAACCACCACCACCGGAAGAACCACCAAAGTTGCCCGTGGACCGGGACTTATTGCTACCCTCTCTCTCCATTATATTTTTCAATTTGCGGGTCTCTGTGGCTTGAGAAAACACCACCATCTTCCCATAGTTCAAATTAGAATTCAAGGCAGCTGTAGCGGCCTCATTAATAACTAAGGGGTTGAGGCCCTACACAAACCGGCGCACTCTAGCCTCCATAATGGGCAACATGTAAATAGCATACATGGACATGCGTGCAAATCTCATATGGTACTCCCACACACTTATACTAACTTGTCTCAAGAGCTCAAACTCAGCGGCATGGGTTGCCTTAGTCTTGGCAGGCAAGAAATGATCAATGAAGGCATCGGCAAACTCACTCAACCTTGTTGTAGGGCTCCCCTCCTCACGGGACTCCTCAAACATCTCAAACCAAGAGTATGCCACCTCTTTTAGGCGGTAGGAGGCCAACTCCACTGCCTCCTTCTCAGTAGCACGCATAACTTGGCGAGTTTTGTGCATCTCATCAATAAACTTGTGGGGGTCCTCCTAAGGATTAGTACCCGAGAACACTGGAGGATCTAACTGAAGAAACCTATTCACCCTGGAACTAGTAGAATCCCCTTGCTGGTTCAAAGAAGCAAGTGAAATATTCGATCTCTGGGCATGGGAAGCCACCATCAGAGCCAACATCTGTATGGCTCCCCTAAGGTCCCCATGAGAAACACCAAGACTGGAAGTTGGGGCTAGAGGTGGAACTGGCATATCAATGGGTGGTGGAATAGCTGCACCCTTCGTAGGAGTAGGGATTGTTGAAGTCTGAGCAGGAGTAGTAGAATCAGGCGGTGTAGTAGTTGGGGTAATATACTCACCCCTCGGGTGCTCCCGCCTCATAAAGTATAGAATTAACTGCACTGATTATTAGAATTAGGACTCAATGTCATGAAAAAAAAATTCTCTCTAGCAAAACCCTAAACCCTAGCGATTTCAGGGGATTCTGCATTTGAGCGCTGCCATGGCCGCTCCGGCCGGTGACCAGTCATCTTTTCCTGCTGATCACCGTCCTCCCTCCCTCGCCACAAATAATGTAACCACAAACAGTAATTCCCATGCAGACGAACCCTACTTCAAAACTTACTGTCGAGCCTATATAATTACGACGAGCCACTGTTTTTAAATGGAGAACCTTTCGTCAAATTCACAGAAGCTGAGGTTGATCACATGAACATAATTGAAGGATTACAATATGCAGTTATTGTAAAGCTATGGTATGGTGGCCAGAACTCCAGGAATTACGCAAAATTATCCCAAGTCAATGTGGAATCAAAGGAGAATGTAGTGTTGGTTTCCTTCGAGATCGACATGTCTTGATAAGATTGACGTTATGGGAAGATTTCATAAATTTTATGTCAAAAAATGCTTATTATGTCAAAGACAAGGATGGTTATGAATATCAGTTGCGAACACAAATTTACGATGCAAAATTCAAGGCCGGGGATGAAACACCAATGGATATGGCATGGATCTCCTTTCCAGGTTTGCTACCTACATTCTTTGTAAATGAATGCTTGTTTTCATTAGCCTCAGCTGTGGGGAAGCTTTTGCATCTTGACATGGCTACAATTAACAAAACTCGGCCTAGTTGTGTGAGAGTTAAGGTCCTAGTTGACTTGTTAGAAGATTTACATAAGAAGATTCATATGGATATCGAGAATGAGGCTACATGGGAAATAAGGACTGAATGGGTGAAAATCAATTATGATTTTCTGCCCAAGCATTGTAAGCAATGCAAAATTCAAGGTCATGATCAGTTTGAATGTTGGTGACTTCATCCAGAGCTAGTGGAGTCTAATGACAAAGTGAAGCATGCAGTTACTGGTAACGCTGGAAAACAGGAACAAAATAAGGGTCCTTTAATGATCCTTTCAAGTGGAAAAGTTGTTGGTAATATTGGTGAACAATGGAAGGAAGTGCGAGATATTCGTGTCAAGAAACCTGTTCAACAGGAAGAAACACAAGGCAGTAGTAGGAAAAAATTTATTCATGTTGATGATGTTCAGGCGACTAATAAGTTTGCTGCTTTGGTAGAGGATGCAGATGATAATGAAGAGAACAATCATCTAGCTTTATTGGAGCAAAATCAGGTCAATCGCAGCACTAAACCTACCCCTACTGAAACTGGGAGAACCTTGAATCCATCTGCACCAATTTATAATCCTTCTTCACCTGGGATTGCAGCTCATAAGGATATTGGCAAAGAATGTATAAACCAGAAGGATAAGGAGAAAGAACAAGCAATGTTAAAGAAAACCACAACACAAAGGGTCGATAGAGCCTTTGGAGGCAACAATGTTACTACTAATTATTCATGCCAAGAGATCCATTCACAAACGTTGAACACTCAAGAAAATACTGTCAATCCAAGGACCAGTGAGAATGATGTCTCAAAGGGAATCGATGCTAGTGTGACTAATGAACAAGGAGGAGCATATGTGAAACAAATTGATAGGGATGATCAGTCGAACAAAGAAAAGAATTTTCCTACAGGAAGTCCACTGATGGGGAGATTATAGAGTCAACAGGTAGAGGATGATTTAGAAGAAGAAGGAGAATTACAATCAGATGATGAGCTAGATAAGGAGGTAGTTGCTAGTCAGATTGATGATCACGAGTCTGAAGATGGAGTTCACTTCTTAGAGGAAGATGAGGAAGATCGTGAACTGATGAGAGTAGATGCTGATGGAGATAAGCAGGAGGAAGCTGGTAACCTGATGCCTAAACCTTCTGATATACAAAATAGTTGTCCTAAACCAGCTGTTCTTAATGTAAGCCTCAATCACAATGACCAAATCCTCACCCCAGAAAATCCTAATCCTAATCTTAACACTAACCCCAATACTATCACTAGCATCCAAAGAAAAGAATTACAGGAAAATAAAGAACTGCAGTCATTTTCCAAGATGCAAAATATGACTAAGGAATCTACTAGCAGGGTAGTAGTTCCTAAACCTATTAAAACTCAGGTAGCTAAACAATCTCTAGCAGTAGATGATGAAGAGAATGGACAAGAAAAAGGGAGAGACATGGATGAGGAATCCACGGCTCAGATTTTCAGGAATGTTGCTCGACAAGGTGACATATCTCCTAGGCATATGGATAGAGAAAAATCTACAGGCAGAGGTAGGAAGAAGCAGCAAAAAGAAACTTATAATATTCTTGTCCCTGGTACATGAGTTCAAACAAGAAGGACACTCTCCAAATCTACCAATTAATGATGAATGCATTAATTTAGAACATTAGATCAGTGAATAAACAACAAGCCTTTGAAAGGCTAATTACAATGCATAGACAACAACATTTCAAATTTGTGGGTTTAATGGAGCCAATGCAGCAATCTAGAAAATTGGATAGATACAAAAAAAGGATAAGTTTTGCTCAGGCTTTTGTAAATATTTCTAACAAGAACTGCGCATTTGTGGATGAAAATTATGAAGTTACAGTAATATTCGATATGGAGCAGCGGATGACCTTAAGACTGGTGGATTCTAATTCTCAACAGGAAGTAATTCTTACCTTAGTTTATGCCAAGTGCGATGCTATTCAGAGGATTAAAATGTGGGACACATTATATGCTTTGGCTTCTGATATGGTAACCCCATGGATAGTTGGGGATGATTTCAATGTGATTTAGGATGAGGAGGAAAATTTTGGAGGCCTACCAGTACACCTCAATGAGATTGATAATTTTAGGCATTGTGTAACAACATGTAACTTGCATGATATTGGTTTTAAAGGTAGTATCTTCACTTGGTGGAATGGAAGGACTGAAGAAGATTGCATTTTTAAGAGGTTGGATAGAGTATTAGCAAATATGGAGTTTCAACAAATGTTCTCAGGTGTGGAGATTACTCATTTGTCCAAAATAAATTTGGATCACAATCCCTTATTAATCACGTGTGTTCCCTATTTAATACCTGTGACGAAGCAATTTTGATTCCTTAAGTTTTGGACAGAACATGCCACCTTTCAAGATGTTGTGAAGGAAAACGGGACGATAGACTTTAGTAGTAATCCATTCATAATCTTCAATCACAACTTGAAGAAGTTGAAGCGAGCATTATCAGTATGGAGCAGGGCTACATATGGGGATATTTTCCAAAAGATTGCTAGCTTGGAAGAGGTGGTACTTGTTCATGAAGCACAGTTTGAAATCAATCCAACAAAGCTTAATAGAGAAAGTCTTAACAAAGTTCAGGCTGAACTTATCAGAGTTTTGTCTCTCGAGGAAAAGTTTTGGAAGCAAAAGTCTTGCATGTCATGGTTTAAGGATGGAGATCGCAACACTAAACTCTTTCATGCAAAAGTGAATGGTAGGAGAAGAAGATTGCAATTAAATAGGATTCAGAATAGTGAAGGTAACTAGATCGAGGGCAATGAACAAATGACAGCTGAAGCAGTCAATATTTTCCATAATCAATTCCATGAGGATGTCATTCCTACTATTTTTGGGATCATTGATCATGTTCCTAACATGGTAAACTTTGATCAAAATCAAGAACTACTGAAACAACCTACGAAAGATGAAGTCAAGAGGACTGTCTTTGGCTTAAATGGGGATAGTGCTGGAGGACCAGATGGATTCACTGGGAAATTCTTCTATAGCTGGTGGGACATAATAGGGGATGATGTATTTAATATGGTGAGGCAGTACTTTAATGGTCATGAACTACCAAGATTTATTACTCATACAAATCTGGTGCTATTGCCTAAGAAGGCGGAAGTTGCTACTTTTTCTGATATGCGACCTATTAGTTTGAGCAACTTCTTTAAAAATGTTTTTTCAAGAGTTATTCATGAAAGGCTTGTTCCTCTATTGCCTAATATCATCTCAGATGAACAAGCAAGTTTTGTTAAATAACGGAACATCGTATAAAATATGTTGTTAACTCAAGAAATTATTACTGACATTAGGTTAAGGACAATGGCAGGACCTAATGTAGTGATGAAATTAGACATAACCAAAGCTTAAGATAGGCTTTCCTGGATATTCATGACTAATGTATTGAGGAAAATGGGCTTTTGTGAAAGGTTCAACGGTGTAGTATTTGGCATTATGTCTAACAACTGGTATTCAATTTTAATTAATGGCTAGCCGTATGGATTTTTCAAGTCCACCAGAGGAGTTAAGCAAGGGGACACCTTGTCACCTACATTATTCATTTTAGCTACTGAATCTATGTCTAGAGGTTTGAATGCTCTTCATCTAAACTTATACTTTTGTGGATTTGGCTTGCCAAAGTGGAGTCCTAAGGTTAATCATCTAGTGTATGTTGATGATACTATCATCTTCTCATCGTCTGATGCTACTTCATTACAACTAATTATAGAGGTATTGAGTGCCTATGAGGTAGCTTCTAGACAATTAATTAACAAGGCAAAATCAACAATCTATATGCACCATTCAACAAGTTTGGAGGTTTTGAACAAGGTGGAAAGAGTGACTGGAATTAGCAAGTAGGAATTTCCTTTCACTTACCTAGGCTGTCCAATTTTTTATACTAGAAGGAAAATGGACTACTATCAGGGGCTTGTTAACAAAGTGCTTGACAAGCTTCAATCATTGAAAGGTAAACTTCTATCGATTGGTGGCCAGGTTGTATTGATTTCACATGTTCTACAAAGCATGCCAATACATTTGTTGTCAACTATGAACCCTCCAGCCTCTGTTATTAATAAACTTCATAAATTATTTTCTCGTTATTTCTGGAGTAATTCAGTAGGAGGAAGAGCTAAACAATGGGCATCATGGGACACATTATTCTTGCCACAAGAAGGAGGGGTTGGATTTAGATCGTTACATGATATGTCTAAAGCCTTATTTTGTAAACTATGGTGGAACTTTGGAAAAAATCCTACTTTATGGAGCGCATTCATGAGTCAAAAATATTGCAAAACATTGAATGCATTAGTGGTTCCTTGGAGAAATAGATCTCATGTGTGGAGAAAGATGCTTGAATGTAGGAATGACATTGAACACAAGATAATATGGCAGCCAAGGATGGGTTCTTCAGTGTTTTGGTTTGATAATTGGACAGGCTTAGGATCATTATACTTTGTTACTCCTCCAGATTTCTACTGTGATGAATCTGTCCACCACGTATATGATGTGATAGTAGATGGCTCGTAAGATGAAGGTAGGTTACTAGATAGTCTTTCTCAAGAGTTAGCACTTCATGTAATTGAGAATATTAAACCTCTTGTACTATATAATGAATTGGATAGACCATACTAGACGTTGGATACTAGGGTCAACTTCACTATTAAAACTGCCTGGGACTATATTAGAAGGAGAAGAGATTCTAGTGCTTCTTACAAAAATATATGGGTGAGAGGTTTGCCTTTTAAGATTGCTTTCTTCATATGGAAGGTTTGGAAAGGCAAGTTACCTTTTGATGACGATTTTAGAAGACTGGGTTATTTCATGCCATCCAAATATTGGTGTTGTATTAATCCATCAGAGGAAACAATGTCACATGTACTATTTAGATCATATGCAGATAAGACAGTGTGGCAGTACTTCCTCTCAAATGCAGGCGTTAATATGGAAGGATTGTTGATGCAGTAGACAGTCCTAAAATGTTAGGCAGCTCAGGTGGTGCCTAGATTAAAGCCTATATTCCAGGCTTTACCTTTGATTATAGTGTGAAAACTTTGGAAAAGAAGGAATAACTATAAGCATGGGGAGGCAATGACAGTAAGTAGGGTGATTTACCAGATCACATCTACACTACAAGATCTGGTAAGACTAAGTAAACCAAGTTTACAAAATATTCCTCATAAATTGCTAGATTTGTTACATGTAATGGAGCATTACATGCCAAAGTTGAAGGTGACGAAGGTCTTATGGGAATTACCTGAACAAGGTTGGGTGAAGGTGAATACTGATGGGGCATCAAGGGTAAATCCGAGAAAGAATTCTATTGGTTTTGTGTTGAGAGATGAATATGGTGATATCCTGCATGCACAAGGAGAGGAGATCCATGAAGGGACGAACACTGAAGCTGAAGCTGTGGCTATGCTAGAAGCACTGAAGTACTGTGTGCAATATGGTTACACACACCTTATGCTCCAAACTGATTCCATGATGTTGAAAAATGTGGTGGAGGGAATTTGGGTTGTACCATGGATAATTGCAACACAAGTATAGGAGATCAAAGGCATTACGGGGAGATGTAGCATAAGGATATCACATATTGTGAGACAGGGTAATAAACTTGCTGATTACTTAGACAACTATGCTTTGGATAGAGGTAATTTTGTGACTGACTGTTTCACACAATTGGATGTACAAGGTCGAAGATTGGTGAATGATGATAAGTCACAATGTCCATATTTGAGAGTGAAGGTTGCGAAGAACTAGGAGGATGGAGGATATGAGTGTAAGAAGAAGGGGAAGCAGCCATGATCATCATTCTCAGATCTCTACAGAGGAGAGGGTGATGATTCTGTTTTTCACTAACTCTATTTATTTTTTTGCAGGAAATGTTACTGTATCCATGCCATACTACTTTATATAAATTCAGTGGGTGGTATTAGCACCTAGTGCTCATTCCCTTGAAGGAGTATTAGTAGTAGGCATAGGCATGGAAGAAAGGAGGAACTCCAGTATACTAGGGTCGACTTACAGTCATCGAAAGATGGATTTTGACATCCAGCACCCTAGTGCTTCAATCCTTCATCTGAACACCAGTAATTTCATCATAAAGTTACAAGTAAAGGATTCACAACACTAGAGTTATAACACAAGAATGCGCAGGAGTTTAATCGTGACAATCATGCCAGTTATGGGTGACTTAGGCTTTTGGCATTTAAAAATGGGATAAATGGTTGCATTATGGAGTAAAACCCCAATGCATTTCATTCACTCTATATCCGAGGAATGGTGCCAAGCAAATGTTTTGATAGATCACTGGTGGAGTCCGCACGATTTCCTCACTAATCAGTGCATACCCATTCTCGTGCATAATTGCTAGATACTTGAAGCAAGGAGGAATGCATGTGATTTTACTAATCCTTATACTAATGCAAGTAATCTACTGGATCCTAGACATCAAGAGGCAGGAATTATAGGGTGTGTCTGGGATATAAAATGCAACACTATGCAAGGAGTAGAAGAAACGCATCATGGATATGGCAAAATAGTGAACGGTACGCTACTGGACACTACACAATGTGGGGATGATCACATGAGCTCCATACAAAAGGAAGGTACAACTAGAGATTTGAGAGGAAAACTAATGGCAACACAATTAGATTCATTCTCGTATCCAGTTCTGAATAAGGAGTACAAACGAAATCCAAACATGCGATTCAATTGGGATGATATAGCATGGCTAGTTTATTTCCTTTTTAGATTACAATTTGTACTATCACTGTTGAGTACTATACTCAACTTTGATAATAGGAGCTATGTGATTATCAAAGTTTATTTCTCTCATTTTGTAAGACCTCCTGCCATTTTGTTCTATTTATTTTTAGATATATATAAAAACTAGCCCTAGACACCTTTCCTAGTGGATTTGCTAAAAAAAGAAAAGAATCAACTGCCACTCCTGGGGTGGCATTGGCTCCTTGTCCATTTCGTTCCTTCTTCCTAGGCGCCATATATGAAAAATTAGAACAATGCACGTGTTAACGGAAGAACAATCTTACAGTTAGCTCTATCGCACGGTCTAGATCATCAAAGAAGGGTGGCATTCCTAAATGCCCAAGTAGCCTCCTAATTATAGATGTGGTCGACAACACACCGATAAGAAGGACTCTACTAGACATGGCTTCAAGATATCCTAGGACACTTAAAAACCTTCGGTTGTGATAACAAGCTTTTCACGCCCGACCTCGTGGAGCGCAACCGATGCTCAACTGAGATACCCAAGTCAAGTAACCATATTCAATGCCTTCTACCTGAACCTACCCATGAGTAAAGTGAAGGTGCATTTCCATTAATTAGACAATAAGAAGATCACGTGAACAACACAAGTTCATTACCATTAGTTAATTCATTTATAAGTCTTAAAATACATTACACATTCATTTTTTGAAGTGGAACATGTGATACAAATACAACATTTCTAGTTTGACTTTTCCAACACCAATATACTACCCACACTATATCTACAGAGCCTTTAACAGATACAAAAGAGTATTATGGTAGTGCTGGCAACAAGGCCCAGTCTATACCTCAAAATAATATACATAAGGAACAAAAGATACAAGACCCCGAAATGAAGTGTGGATCACCAAGTCAGCTGGGAAGAGGGTGTACCGCTATCACTGATCGATGCCGCCTGCTGTGGAACCACCTGCATCCATTAAAGATGAAACGCCCCCGACAAAAGGGACGTTAGTACATACATAAGAATT